TTTTTTTTATTATATTCTTTCTTTTCTTTTTGTTGTTTTCTTCCTGGACTTTTTATTCTTTCTTTCCATTTTATTTTCTTAAGTTTAGTTGGTATTTGTTATACTTGTAATTAAACTTCTTAACAAAGATTATATTCACATATTTTTATGTATGTTCATCCAGTAAGTGCATTTCATCCTATTTTCACTTTAGTTTGTGACATTTTTAATGCAATCCAAAGGTATTTAAATAGTTAAATATATATCTTAAAATGCATTCACATGTGGATTTCCAAATGAAATCTCTCTCAAAATTTATAAAAACATTAGTATGTGTATTTTGAGTTGAAGATTGAATCAGAATATTCAGGAACCAAATGTAGGAGATGGCCAGTCTGAGCCAAGGGCGGGGTCAAATGCACCATCAGTTTGGAGTCACCACGCCCCAGTAAGAGACCTAAGCCCAGCCCCCTTTGAAGTCCATTGACTCTTTTCTGGTGCCAACTTGCATTGACCATTAGTGGATCAGATTCTTGTGAATAGGTAGCATGAAATAAACTTTCAGTGCTTTTGAATTTTATCCTGGCTCTTGATTTCCTATGCCTGACACCAAAAATGCCAATGAATAACTTACATTATCATGATTGTATAATGTTGAAGATGCAGATCAGATTGGTTCATGCTGGGACAACCTCGCCCCTCTTCCCTTGAATTTTTCAAAACTACTTAATTTGAATTCGAAGGGAACTTTGATGCAGATTATTTAACAATGAATCTCAGCAACCTATGCAGTACAGTAAGCTAATGTGCTTTTTATAGGTATGCATTTTAAAATAAATCATTTGCATCTCTCTCTCTCTCTCTCTCTCTCTCTCTCTCTCTCTCTCTCTCTCTCTCTCTCTCTCTCTCCTTCAACTGAGCTCTCAACACTACTTACCTCTCCATTTGTGTGAAATGCCCACATTCTTCAATATGACTACGAGTCAATTGTGGAATCTAGGGGGAGAAAAAGGTACACATCATGGCCAACTGAAATCATTTTGCTATTTTGTGAAACAGGAAAGGTCCCTTGGCTATGTCAAGAAATGTCAATCAGAACTACAGTATGTCATCTCATCTACAATGAGATGACAAATAACTCTAATTCAGTAGTATTCTTGAGCTTTTTCCTTGTCTCAAGAAACCTAAGCCTATGTGTGATAACTAAGGAGTCACTATGTAGTTGGTGGTTCTTAAACAGAAGAACGAAATTAAAATACAGTGAAATGAAAAGTTGGGATGACTTTTATGAGAAGACAAACCAGGAGGTAAAAGGCACTTTCATATCACCTTGGCTTTCGGCACTGCAAATTTTCAAGTCTGTCAATCTCAAAACACAGACAGAGAAAGAAAAATAATGGTTTGACCTTGAACTGCTGCAGCACTTCCAGTAACAAGAATTCCTTCAACTCCATTCCATTAAATGAAATAGAATATTTCAGTGTAAAGAGACATTTTCCTGCCCTCTGATCTATTGTATTTGTTTAATTATGGAAAGGATCAGGCCAACACATCTGTTACTCACCCAGTTCTCCATGTGCATGCTCATTTCTGGACTGAGAACTCTATCTTTTCCAGCAGTGACCATCAGGGCAGGAACTGTGATCTGTGGATTTAGAGATGAATGAGATCTGAAGCCATCCATATGCAGTGGCGATCAGCAAACACTGACACGTATCACCACTTCAGCTATATGTTAACAGCTATACTTACTCTTTCCGATAAAAGGTAAAAGCAAGATGGGGTGCTAGAGATCATCTGTAAAGTCAGATAGCCGTCTCCTTAATTTCTATTCACAGGAATTAACGTTTTATGACTCACCGACCTCAATGTAGCACCGTTTTGTGAACAGGCAAGCCATGGCAATCATTCCCCCACCGTGCTATCAGCATTTTGACTGCGCCCACTAATTCATAATGATTTCCTATCCCTGCAGGAATCCAATACTGTAACTCTTACATGAATGAAGAATGTTTTTGCCAGAAGGCATGGGCACAAAGCAAGCTCAACTCATCCCCATGACAGCTTCTTGTCATTCCAAACAATAGCTTAATCTTGTAGTTTGACAAAGAGAGATGCTGATGAGATGGTTAAGGCTTTGCTAGGCAGAGAACTTATACTGCTTTTATAACTTAATACAGAATCTACACATTCCTGGCTATTAAGCTGTGCAATTGGTAGAGGCAGCTGTCATTCAGTTTTATTGTTTTGTTTTTTTCTTTCCATTTTATATTTTTGTATTTGCTCTTTCAACCAAGGCTGGATTCAAAGAGAAAATATGATTTGGAGTATACATAGAGTCCAAATAATAGTCCCTGATTAAATTGAATCTGGGGTTTTCCCGGAAAAGACAAGCTCTTAATCTTGATTGATGCACAGCCTAAAGTGTAAGTGTTAAAACAGTCTACAACAGCTTTGAAATGTTTTATGGGAAATAGATACAAGCTGTTAATTATTGAACACCAGAAAAATGGTAATAGTACAGACAATGCAACTCAGGGCTGGATGAAGAACAGGACAGTTGGGATTTAAATCTTTCAGTTCACATGGAGATTGCTGGGTGACTTTAACCAAGTTTGACACCCAAGGGTTTGGGAAAGAAATATGTAAA